GACGGACAACAGAAAAGTGGGTGAAGGGAGACGTCGGACAGGGCAAGATATGACAAAATATTAATTTATAAATTATCAAGAGTTCATGAGGTAGGGGGTAGCTGGGAGGGAGGGGGAAAATGAGGACCTGATGCCGGGGGCTTAAGTGGAGAGGAAATGTTTTGAGAATGATGAGGGCAAAGAACGTACAAATGCGCTTTACACGATGTATGTAGGGATTGTATGAGCCCCTAATAAAATGATTAAAAAAGAAAAAGAAATGTCTATTGGCATTTCTATTTTAGCACACTAGATAACAATCCCTCCGAGAGGAATGGATCCACTTTTGCTGTAACTCCTTAATCATCTCCCTTACGAAAGTTATGTGGTGAACTTTCCCACCCCTCCCATTGCTGTTCAAATTGAGAAGGAAATTAACACCGAGGTGTAGTCTCAAACCAAAAGTAACTACTCACTGCCATTGAGTCACTCCTGCCTCTTAGCAGCCCTGCAAGGCTGGGGTAGGACTGCCCTCATGGGCTTCTAAGACTGTAGCTCGTTACCAGAGGAGAAATCCTTGTCTTTCTCCCACATAGTTTACAATGAATCTTTGTTAGATAAGAAGAACTTTAATTGACCCTTTAGTCCAATGTTTAATTCAAATGAGATCAGATTCTTTCAGGGTGGTATGGTTGTTAGACTGTTTATTTCTGGAGTGAGTAATGGGAATTGGCACACATTTTACCTAACAAGTTCTAATTAAAAGCGTAGGCCTATAAACTTGTGTTATAAATGAAAGAAGTAAAGAAGGATTCTCTTTGATCTCCCTACAGCTGCTTGCTCCCCACAGTACCATACTTTGGCAATTTAGTTCAAATTGTAGAGGGAAACAAATTTGGAAAGTAGAAACCAATAAGGATAAAATAATAAGAACATACCCCGTGCAGAGAGCTGTCACCTGACTAGAAGTTGGTGTTTTGAGATTTTATTGAAGCTATCGTAAGTTTTCGGATTGATGTGTACTTTGCTTTTCTTCATAGTGATCAGCCATAATATTGCTGGATCTGTAATTACAGGTTGTTTTAGGAATACAGCTCTGCCATGTTAGTAGCTAAGCCAAGGTGAACTGGATGTTCAAGTTCTTTTCATCCTGATCTGAATGTATTGTAAGCTCCCAGTTCAAGTCGGCTGTGTGGCAGGCACTGTGCTAGTCTGAAGAGATACAAGAAGCCATAGAGATTTTTGCTCTCGGTGTACTTAGAGACCAGACAAGATATGTGTTTCTATTCCTGTTCCTTTCCCAAGTCGGACATCTATGCCCCAAACTACTATTGTTGCTAATAGATAACTCATACAGTGGTTAAGAGGGAAGGAGCAGGGAACATGCAGATGAGGGAAAAAATATTCATGTAGTGAAACCATTGAAATTTTATTGCGAATCACTGCCACTTCCCCCAGCTTTGGAGGGACGGGGAACAAGAGGTCTGCTCAGAAAGGAGTATGCAGGATAGTTTGGGAACATTTTTAAAAGGGTTACCAGGTCTCATTGCTTCCCTTTCTGGCACTGTCATGGACACTGGTGTGTGTGCTGAGCGGTGGCAGTGCCATGGGCACTGCAGGTCTTCATGGGGCTGGAGTCGTGGAGCTCACAGGAGAGGAAATAAAATGTAGAACATTTAAAAAAAATTTTAAAGGTTTCTCAGAAACTTGTTAAAACTAGTTTTTGTTGTTGTTTTGTCCCTGGTAAATAATGTAGAAGACTTGGAGAACATTTACCTGAAGAGGGAATATTTCAAGTGGCCTGATTGATACAAATTCTCACTCTGCGTGAGCAGACATACTTTATCCGTGGCCTGCAACCCGCAGCCTCCCTGTAGAGTCTGGTATGAATAGATGTGCTAGGCTAATTTACTTACTCGGGAGGTTCATTAAAGCCAGGATCAGGTATTCTTGAAAGCTTACCAAGGTATCCTGTGAGTATTCATTAACCCAAGGGCTGCTTCTCTGGGAATTTGTATTGTCAGTTGGACTGATTCCTCTTTACAGTCTACTTGCCCCTTCCACCAGTAATTGAAAGAGCAATTGATAACTAACTCAACCGTTCTTTTAAAATGGGGAACTTGCCACATTTCCATAGTTTTATTTCTTTTTTTTTTCTGTACTGTGGTAATTTTCTCAACGAAGAGTCTAATGGGTCCCTTTGTAATCATTGGTGCCAGTCTGGCTTATTTCACAACCAATGAGGACACTGTGTTGGCACAAAGTTCTTGGTTAAGGAAAGAAGGCCTACTGTTAGCCCTGATTCCCAAAACTGGCATCTGTTATCAACACTAATTAATGAAATTATATGTGTAGCATTTTATGTACAGATACCCCAGACTATTTTTAAGAGGTGAGGGCGACTGGTCTGAAAGTTGCTTTAGATCCCTAATTGGGCGATACCACCCGCTGGGTAGAGCAATCCAGAGGGGATCTCAAAAGCGGACACAAATACTTTCCCTGGGATTGTGGGCTAGAGTAGGAGCCCGGTGACGTAATGATTACACATTGGGCTGCTAACTTTTAGGTCAGCTGTTTGAAACCATGAGCCTCTCCTCGGGAGGAAGATGGGGTTTTCCACTCCCCTGAAGAGTTACGGTCTTGAGAACTCACGGGGACCGTTCTCTGGTCACTATGAGTCGGCATCGACTAGACGGCAGTGAGTTTGGTTTTTATGAGCGACAGTACAAAAATCTTTACTTGCTGGGGCGGGGCAGGTAAGGGGCACTGAGTAATTTTTTTTTTCCCCCGAAAAGGGAGCAGCAGGTCAAATAAGTTCAGAAACCTATCGTTTAGATTGCAGCCCACTTTTCTTAGTATACTCTTCTACCTTGGTTTAATGTTTCTCAAAACATCTATGTTACTGACATTATCAAATGCTTAGTTCAAAGAACCAGGCAATGTTTCCCTTCTGAGGTTTCATGTATCTTTTAACAATTGATTGATTGATTATTTCCAAGTAATTATTAGTTAAGTAGCCATTTGAATCCAGCAGCAGGCACATGGGTTAGAGATGTGTCCAGCTGCTTAATTGCATCAAGAGTTAGCGCCTTGGAAACCCCATCGTGCAGAACTGCTCCATCCTGTAAAGTTGCTATGAGCTGCAATCAACTTGTACTGTACTGGGACATAGTTAACCATATCACTTTTTATTTGTGATTCCAAATGTAAATATGTAGAAACTTCTCTGCTCTGAAAGTATTTGATGTCTGCGTTGATGGACAAGACCTTGGAGGGTGTATTCCCCCCGCCCCCCCCTCCAATTGGGGAAAGCAGGTAGCCAGGGGCCATGAATGCAGTTTGTCTGTTTATTACCCAATTATTGATTTCCCCTACAGAATCATTTATTTTTTTCTATGAAGCTTCCATGCTCTTAAATAATGTAGTAGATTGAATACTATCAATATTAAACTTAGGAGTTCCCTTTTGAATACATTTAGAAGACAATTACGATAGTCTGTTACTGATAGACTTGTTTTTCACTTTAAAAAATTTATTCAGTGGTACATTTGGGTGCAACAACTAGTACTTAATAATTATACCCCTAATAAAATGTTTAAAAATAATAATTATTGTTGTAAATAGACACAGTTTGACTGTTTGACGCTTGGGAGTGATCCTATCACGGATGTGATGAAATCCCAGTGGTCTGTTATGGCAGGGAGTGCAGCTGCCCTTCAATACATACCCCTGGTTTACCTCACCCAAAGCACTACCCAGTTTGTACCTAGACTTAACTCTTTGCTTACCAGCTATGTCAAACCAAAACTAGCCCGTGCAGTTGGCTCCTATAAAGGCCTATATTGCTTGCAGGCTTACAAACTATGTAAACTTAAGTGCAAACACAAGTTAACTCGTGAGCAGACTGCAACTTTCCAACATGAAAACATTAGTATACTGGTGACCAGTCAGCATTGTGTTAGGACACCCAAAGAAAACACTGTAATTTTTTCCACCTTCTTGTCACCAAGTGTCATGTGACTAGTGCTGGCCAATAGGAGATGAGCAAAGTTGAGGAGTTATGTTATTCAAGGGAACAGGTATCCCCCACTCCATCCCTCTGCTTGGAACTTGGTCAGGATGGCAAACCCCTTTCTAGCTTGTGGATTAGAGTAGGAAGTGTAGTGCACACGGGACCCTAGTGGAGGACCTCAGAGCAGATGCCCTATGGGTCCTTGTCTGTCTCTGTGTGCACAGTTTGTTACTGGATAACGCGTCATTTCCCTCCAGGTGCCTTCCTTACGTGCATAAAAATTGGTTTTGCTTTCTCATCTTACTCTCAAAGTTATTTTTGAAGTTATATCCTTATTGTAATTTAAAAAACATTTTTCTAGATATAAAAATGTCTGCATTATTAATAATTTAGTAAAACAAAGATAATAGTGATCCATTATTTTCTTGGATTGTGACTGTTCTTAATAAATTATTGCAAAACTATTCCTGATTTACTACTGAAACAGTTTCCCTTTTTGAACTGTAAGAGAAATATTAATGTAGTAATATTTAATGTAGTAATAATATTTAATGGTAGATGAATCCTTATTCATCTCAGATAAAAGAGAATTTTACTTATTAATAGCATTGAATCCCATGTAGTTAGAGAAAAAGTTTTTTCTAGTGCCATTTTACTTACGTGTTAATTGTTTGATTTCTAAAGCAACCAACCAGTGTCACCTTAAGACTACATGCCATATGCATTTTAAATCATTGGTTTTAGGCCGATGTGCCCGTTTTAAGAATTATTGTTACGTCCACTAGAGCGTTTAATGGCAGTTTTGTAAAACGCAAATTTTAGTTTTATGAATCTTCTTTATCATATCTACTTCAGGTTGAATATGAAGGCTTAAAACATGAGATTAAGCGGTTTGAGGAGGAGACAGTCCTGCTGAACAGCCAGCTGGAAGATGCCATCCGGTTGAAGGAGATCTCGGAGCACCAGCTGGAGGAAGCCCTGGAGACGTTAAAGAACGAGAGGGAGCAGAAGAACAACCTGCGCAAGGAGCTCTCGCAGTACATCCCCCTCAATGACAACCACATCAGCCTCTCGGTCGACGGGCTCAAGTTTGCTGAGGAGGGGAGTGAACCCAACAACGATGACAAAATGAACGGGCACATCCACGGGCCTCTAGTGAAGCTCAATGGCGATTATCGGACTCCCACGCTAAGGAAAGGAGAGGCTCTGCACCCCGTCTCGGACTTATTCAGTGAGCTGAACATTTCAGAGATACAGAAGCTGAAGCAGCAACTGATGCAGGTAAGGACTCATGAGCGGCGGAGCTCTGAGGGGTGTTCTGTTTTCATTCCACGTTGCTTTTCGTAAAATTAAGATTGCTCCTCATGGGACACTGTTTTAGAAAGATGCGACCGATAAGGTTTTGCAGATCTTGAAGAGAAACTTCTCATTCACCTTGCGTTAAGAAATGAATCTCGAGGAGACACAAATGACATTTATGGAACCGGATCTGAAGGGAGGAAAAACAGCCTCCTTAGGCTTCTCTGGCTAGCAAAGGAATTCCAAATCTTTAGGTACAAGTGAAATGGTAGAAAATGCACTTTCTCTGCCTGAGCCACGGAAGGCATAGTCCCAAAAGGAATACGTGCTCCTCGGTTCTGCTCGTGGTTAGATTGTCGTGCAGAATCGGCGTTAGTGAGTAGGAAGACGCTGTGCAGGTGGCGCCTGCCCAAAGCCTGTGCTCTCAGCCCTGCTCCCTCAGCTCTGGACCCCGAGACTTTGGTATCCACGCTGGTGCTGAAGCAGACCTGGGGCTGGGCGAGAGGCACTGATGGCTGCTCAGATGCTCAGGCAGCTGGTGGGGCTAGAGGTCAAGATGGATCTGTAGAGGTTGTTGCCCATGCTGTGCCCTGCAGCCTCAATCATCTGCTGTCACCCCACAGTCCCAGGCAGACCCTACAGACACAAATAACATGCTGCTGGTCTTGAAGGGCTAAGGATTTTCGGCTAGGGCCTGGAGACCAGCAGCTGCTCAGAAAAGGCGCTCAGTCGCTTGCTTCTACTGCAGCCTCCGGCTCTGAGTTACCCTGTACCCTGCCCACTGCAGGACTTGGTCTCTCCGGGCATTTGAGCCGAGGGGAGCAGCGGCAGTGCAGACACACACTGGTCCTTTTCAGAAGGTAGTAGACTCTGCCGTGTGCACCCTATCTACTATCCTCACCCAGTAGGGTCAGCTGTATTGCTGACCCATAGCTACCCTGTGCCCACAGTGTGAGACTCTGCACAGTCCTGCGCCTCCTCACAATCGTTCCCACTGACACAGGATCCCGTAGATGCAGCCCCTGGGGCAAGCGTGGCACCCAATGAAAAGTACTGCCACCTGTCTAGAAAATAACGCTGGCAACATATGTACAAATATGCTTGATACAGTTGATGTATGGATTGTAATGAGCTGCACGAGCCCCCAGTAAAATGATCTTAAAAAAAGAAAAAAGTACTGCCCTCAAGTCACTTCTGGCCTGTAGTGACCCTCTAGCGCAGGATCAGGGAGAATCGCTCCCCGTGAGTTTCCTACACGCTGATTCTCTATGGGAGTAGAAAGCTTCATCTTTCTTCCATGCAGCAGCTGGTGGTTTTGAACTGTGAACCCCGAGGTTATCAGCTGTAATCCCCTACACCACTGTGGCTCCTTTGTTAGCTCCCAGTAGTCAAATAATATTAGCATTTCTTCAGTGAGATATGAGTATTCGTATAAAGATCATACAAGGCAACGTGTAATTTTGTTGCCCTGTAAGTTCAGGGCTGTCTGATTATCACCACCCATTGAATTATGATAAGACTTTTGTTTTGAGCTTTTGGATCGTGAAATTGTGCTGTCATGGATGCGGCGATTGCCCTCCTTCAAGCTCGGCTCTCGGTTTTCCGTGCCTCAGCTTGCAGCCTCAGCACACTTTGGACGTAAGTTTGTGTTTCCATAGTTTTCTTGTTTCTTAGCATTTGACTGGGATTCAAAGCACTGCATCTGAGAGACAGCTGTGCACCTCTGAACCCAACCCCTGCCGTGAGTTGGTGTGGAGAGTTTGTGAAGACCCAGAGGGACCCAGCACCTTCTGCACCATTTCCCGGCGTCATGCCGCTTCAGTCATGGCCTGTGAAGCCATACCAGAATGGGCCCACCTGTTTGAAAAGTGAATGAACCAGAATGCTAACTTGAATGGGGAAAAAAATGACAGGTAGAATCCTTGCTGGAAACTCAAGCTCTCTCTTTGAAAACAAGGGCAGTGTGCACGTTGTGTGGCACCCACTCTTTTGACCAGCTGAGTCGAAAACAGTGGTGCCTGGCTCAAAGATGGCAGCTCACCACACTACTTAACATGTGTTTTCTCTCATGGCAATAATGCCATGTCATATAGCCAGCTCCCAAAAGGGACCACCACACCTGTTCCCAATCTTCCATTCAGGGCTTGGACCATTCCAGTTAGCCTTTGGGTTCACGCAAATATAGGATATTTGAGTCCGTTTCCATTTTGGTTAAGTGGCCGGGACTGGACCACTTCTAAGTGACAGGGACAGAACAGGAACTACTGCCGGCTGAGGGGATGAACACTCTGCTTGCTAAAGAGCAAGTAGCTGTCTGCTCTGGGAGCACGCCTGCTGCAGGCCAGGAGAGTAGCCAGTGGACCCAGAGATAGCAAACCTGGTAGATGTCTCAACTCGCAGGGCAGGCTGAGTGTGTATCCTAAAACATCTCCCCCAGATTTTCTGCCCGAGATAAGATTTGTCACCTGATATCAATTAGAAAGAAACATGTAGGAGACCCAAGGATGAACGTTGTAACTAATTAGATGGTGGCCCACCATTGTCAAAGCCACAATCCCCTGCCTTTAGAAAGCACCCTTTAAAAATTAGAAGTGTTTCTCCAGCCCCATCCTCCTCACCCTGTCCTACAGGATGCTTCCTGGGTGAGATGTTTCTCTTTTGAAGTGCTGCTGAAATAAACTGGGCTTAATTCTCTGCTGCTGCTGCTGCTGCTGCTGCTGCTGGTATCCCTGGTTCCTTACAAACCACAAGATTTGCTGGGGTTCCCCCACAGATGACAACCCCCATGTTGAACTGGCACACTAATCAGTTCATAGACCTGTAGGAAACGTGCAGTTTTAAGATCTTCCTTTTGAAATCGACGTAGACCATAGCCTACTCATCTTTTATTATGTTAGAAGGTTCTATGCACTTGAGTTATGTTTCCCCATCTGAAGGTATGTGGCAAACCTGATATCCTTCCCACCCCTCTCCCCACCCCCAAATAAAAAGAATTCTGTTTTTGCCTTGTGTATCAGAAATCTTGGGTAAGTAACTTCACTTCTGTGTGGCCCGTTCATAAAGGGGAAGGTAACGCATTAGCCCCACAACTAGTCTCGGGTTGCCTTTGTTGGAACTGGAGGAGCGAATCTCTTGCCTTCAGATACCATACTGCCATCTGCTGGGAAATTGTAGTTGGAATCATAAACAGCTGCAACTTCAGCAGTGCCTCCAGGCACACAGCCTGCATTGTCAAATCACCTCGAGTGTTACACAGACGGAATGGGATGGGGACTATGAAACCATGTAGCTGCTACAAAACATTATAAGGCATTCGTGTACTGGGACTAGCTGACATTTCTGAGGGTCCAAAGAGGTCACCACCGGGCTAAACCATAGAGTATGTGGGGAAAGGCAAGTGGTGATAAGGTTTGTCTGGTTAAAAATCTAGCTGATGTGGATTCAGGGCACTCCCGTGTGTCTCCCAGGAGAACTGTGGGGTGCAGGGTTGGCAAGCAGTGGTGTGGGAGGTAGTGCTGGGCCTCCGAGTGAGCTTGACTTGCCACCGTTTGGGGTTTGTAGTCAAGCACACGCCTTTTGCCTTACCCGGAGACCCTGTCTAAACCATGGGGTGCTTTCTGACCAAGACAAATATTTTTCTGACTTATATTTCTTCCCAGATTATAGAACAAATGACAGTAATATTTTAAATTTAGCCAATCACGCTATTTTGTACAGAAGCATGTGTATAAAAATCTCAAGAAGACATATTTTATGCGTCTAAGAATCTCTGTAAACTTGACAAAAGACCTTGCTAGAGAACAGCTCAATTAATGACATCCTTTATTGACTATGAGAAATTCTCAGACCATTATTAGATGAATTAGTTTGGCTTTTGGTGCCCTTAAGGTTTAGTTATTTTAAATTGATTATAGTCTACATTCTTTGTTGAGACAGTCAAGTACCTTAATTCTTTTAGTAGGAGGAAAATAACTAGAGCCTGTCTGGAAGAAGTAACGAAATGACTTAATCTGTGTGAAGGAGCCTTCCATGCTTGTGCTAAAAGTGCTCCCCTTTCCCTCCCATCTGTGAGGCACAGGAAGCAGGACAAATTCTTTGGATTCCACCACCCCCCACCACCACCCTTTTTCATTAGCAAACTGGATATATCATTTCACATGTAACGTGAGAAAAAGAACTATGATTTCTATAAACCTTAAATTACCAAATTTTTTTGGTTATATCCTCATGGATGTGCAAGATATAAAAATACATATTGTTCTTGGATCCATTAAAGGCCATTTAAATTTTATAATGATGCTAAGTGTTCAATTTGCTATGTCCCATTAAAATTCAAAGCATTTATATATGTGTTTGTGTGTGTGTGTGTGTGTGTGTGTGTGTGTGTGTTTGTTCTATTGGTATTTATAAAAAATTGTATGGGGTAGATAGTATCTCAAACCCCCCCCCAATTTCATAAATAAGGAAATTGAGACGCAAAATTGTAGGTCGTTTGTTCAAAGAAAAAAAAGTAACGTACTGAATGAGTCAATTTAAATATTCTCTCTACACAACAATGATTCATCCAATATTGTGAAATTAATTAAAACAAGATTAATCAATTGCTTCTTTTTATAACCTCGATGACAAGACAGTGCCCTCGTGCAAAGACGACGTTTTAATTGGTTAACTATTATAAACGATAAGTTTAAAATCACATTTATAAGCTTTGTAAAAACAGCAGAGAACATTGCCATTGAGTTACTTCTGACCCACAGCTCCCCCATGTGTTACGGGGAGGAACTGCTCCACGGGACGCTTTTGGCTGCATCTCTATGGAAGCACACGCCCTCGGGGCGCCATGCACCTTGCATTGAGCCTGCCAACTGCAGTCAGTGACTGGACGCCGCGAGGCACTCTGAGGGAGGAGGTACATGAGGTTGTCTGTGCTCATAGCGATTTTTAAAGTCTTGGAAACCCAACAGGACTGTTCTACTCTGCCCAGAGTGTCACAATGAGTGGGACTCGGCTTAATGACAGTGCGTTGTTTAGTTTTGGGGCTTTTTGATGAAGCAGGTGGCCAGGTTTTCCTGCTGCTGTTCCTCTGGGTAGAACTGCAAATCTTCGGGTCATAGTTACGTACAACTATGATGCTAGTTGTGGGTTTTTTATAGATAACTTTTATTAGATGGAGGAAGTTCTCTTCTATTCCTTGTTGGTTGAATGTTTTCATCATGAAGGGATGTTAAATTTTGGCAAATCCTTTCCCCCCCCTAAGACCATGTGGTTTGCGTCTTACCTTGTATGACTATGGTGTATTACAAGGAGCCCTGGTGGCCACCAAGCCTGCGGTTTGAACACACAAGCTGACTCACAGAGACCCTGTGAAGAGGTTCTGAGGCTGTAAGTATTTATGGGAACAGATGGTCTCATCTTTCTCTGCCGACCAGATGGTGGGTTTTGAACTGCTGACCTTGCAGTTAGTACATTTATCCAAAAATCACCAGGGCTCCTTGAACTACAAATGTTCTAAAAGTCAATGCTAAATACTATGCTTATTTCTTAAAGTCATGTTATGTTTTCCCTAGGTGCTGAAGAGAGAAAAAGTAAGACCGTTGAATAACATTCATGTTTCACAAGTTTGTATGTGTAGGGTGCATACGAGTATGAAACGTAGCCTAGTAGCCTAATCCCTTTATTTTTTTTTTATTTAAATCATTTTATTGGGGGGTCATACAGCTCTTCTCACAATCCATACATTCATCCATTGTGTCCAGCACATTTGTACATTTGTTGCCGTCATCATTCTCAAAACATTTGCTTTGTACTTGAGCCCTTGGTATCAGATCCTCATTTTCCCCCTCCCTCCAAACCTTTGGTAATTTATAAATTATTATTTTGTCATGTCTTACACTGTCTGACATCTCCCTTCACTGACTTTTCTGTTGTCCGTCCCCCAGGGAGGGGGTTATATGTAGATCCTTCCGATGGGTTCCCTCTTTCTAACCCACCTTCCCTCCACCCTCCTGGTATCGCCACTCTCACCATTGGTCCTGAAGGGATCATCTGTCCTGGATTCCCTGTGTTTCCAGTTCC